CTGCGCAACTTTAACATGCTCGCTTCCAAGCTCTATCTTGAAAATGTCGAGAGCAAGATCGAGACACTCCTTGGCCTGCTTCAGGTTACCCAATTCGAACTGTGCGATACCTAGATTAAGGTAATTCTGAGCGGCATTGACGTGTTGACTTATAAGCTCTGTCATGAAAATGTAGAGGGCACGATCAACATACTCCTTTGTCTGTTTCAGGTTACCCAACTCACGCTGTACAATACCTAGGTTTAGGTAAGTATGTGCAAAGTTAACATGCCCACTTCCAAGCTCTGTCTTGAAAATGTCGAGAGCACGATCAAGATACTCCTTGGCGTCTTTCAGGTTACCAAGCTCACGCTGTACAGTACCTAGGTTTAAGTAAGTCTGTGCGACATTGACATGCTCACTTCCCAGCTCTGTCTTGAAAATGTCGAGAGCACGATAAAGACACTCCTTGGCTTGTTGCAGATTACCCAACTCATGCTGTACAATACCCAGGTTTAGGTAAGTATGTGCAAAATTGATATGCCCACTTCCAACCTCTGTCTTGAAAATGTCGAGAGCACGATCAAGATACTCTTTGGCTTGTTGCAGGTTACTCAATTCACGCTGTACAATACCTAGGTATAGGTAAGTATGTGCAAAATTGATGTGCCCACTTCCAAGCTCTGTCTTGAAAATGTCGAGAGCACGATAAAGACACTCCTTGGCTTGTTGCAGGTTACCCAACTCATGCTGTACAATACCCAGGTTTAGGTAAGTATGTGTAAGATTGATATGCCCACTTCCAAGCTCTGTCCTGAATATGTTGAGAGCACGATCAAGATACTCTTTGGCTTGTTGCAGGTTACTCAACTCACGCTGTACAATACCTAGGTTTAGGTAAGTATGTGCAAAATTGATATGCCCACTTCCAAGCTCTGTCTTGAAAATGTCGAGAGCACGATAAAGACACTCCTTGGCTTGTTGCAGGTTACCCAACTCATGCTGTACAATACCTAGGTTTAGGTAAGTATGTGCAAAATTGATATGCCCACTTCCAAGCTGTGTCTTGAAAATGTCGAGAGCACGATAAAGACACTCCTTGGCTTGTTACAGGTTACCCAACTCATGCTGTACAGTACCAAGGTTTAGGTAAGTATGTTCAAAATTGATGTGCCCACTTCCAAGCTCTGTCTTGAAAATATCGAGAGCACGCTTAAGATGCCCCTTTGCCTGTTGTAGGTTACCTAACTCACGCTGTACAATACCTAGATTTAGGTAAGTCTGTGCGATAGCGACATGCTCACTTCCAAGTTCTGTCTTGAAAATGTCGAGAGCACGATCAAGATACTCCTTGGCCCGTTGCAGGTTACCCAGCTTACGCTGTACAATACTTATATTTAGGTAAGTCAGTGCGACAGTGACATGCTCACTTCCAAGCCCTGTCTTAAAAATGTCGAGAGCACGATCAAGATACTCCTTGGCGTCTTTCAGGTTACCCAGCTCATACTGTACAGTACCTAGGTTTAAATAAGTCTGTGCGACATTGACATGCTCACTTCCGAGCTCTGTCTTGAAAATGCAGAGAGCACGATCAAGATACCTCTTGGCCCGTTTCAAGTTACCCAACTCATGGTGTACATTACCCAGGTTTAGGTAAGTCTGTGCGGCATTGACATGCTCACTTCCAAGCTCTGTCTTGAAAATATTGAGAGCACGATCAAGATATTCCTTAGCCCGTTGCAGGTTACCCAGCTCACACTGTACAATACCTAGGTTTAGGTAAGTCTGTGCGATAGTGACATGCTCACTTCCAAGCTCTGTCTTGAAAATGTCGAGAGCACGATCAAGATACCCCTTGGCTTTTTGCAGGTTACCCAACTCACGCTGTACAATACCTAGGTTTAGGTAAGTCTGTGCGACATTGACATGCGCACTTCCAAGCTCTATCTTGAAAATGTCGAGAGCACGATCAAGATGCCCCTTTGCCTGTTGTAGGTTACCTAACTCACGCTGTACAATACCTAGGTTCAGGTAAGTCTGTGCAACATTGACATGCTCACTTCCAAGTTCTGTCTTGAAAATGTCGAGAGCAATATCAAGATACTCCTCGGCCTGTTGCAGCTTACCCAGCTCACGATGTACAATACCTAGGCTTAGGTTGACATGCTCACTTCCAAGCTTTGTCTTGAAAATGTTGAGAGCACGATCAAGATACTCCTGGGCCTGTTGCAAGTTGCCCAACTCACGCTGTACAATATCTTGGTTTTGGTGAGTCTGCGCGACTTCGACATACTCACTTCCAGGCTCTGTCTTGAAAATGTCGAGAGCACGATCAAGATACGCCTTGGCCTTTAGCAGGTTACCCGACTCACGCTGCACAATACAAAGGTTTAGGTAGGTCTGTGTGACTTCGACATGCTCACTTCCAAGCTTTGTCTTGAAAATGTTGACAGCGCGATCAAGATATTCCTTAGCCCGTTGCAGGTTACCCAACCCATGCTGTACAGTACATAGGTTTTGGTAAGTATGTGCGAGACTGACATACACAGGTCTATATATTTTCTCGTGTATTACACGAGCAAGATGAAAGTGTGTCAAAGCCTGCCGTAGGTTACCCATTTTATGCTGCACAATACCAAGGTTGTAAGAAATGGACGCGACATGGACATGATAGGCTCCATATTTTTTCTTGTAAATTTCTAGAGCAATTTGAAAATGCTCAGTGGCCTGTTCGAAGTCAACCAATTCAAGCAGTACATCCCCCAGGTTATGATGACTAATCGCAACATTAACATCCTCGGGTCCAAGCTTTTCCACGTAAATGGCTATGGAAAGTTCAAGATATTCGATGGCTCTCTTCAGTTCACCCATGGACCGTCGCAAATTACCTAATCTTTGATAAATTTTTGCACTATTCACTACAGTGTCACTGATTGCTTCAACAACTTTCAAAGCTGTTTGATAGTAAAAGTCAGCGAAAGATAATTCGTAGTGATTCTCGCAAATTATACCAATCCGGAGGAAACATGATGACCAATCTAAAACATTTAAAACGCCCTTTCTGAAAATTCGGCTTTCCTCTTCGAAAGTAAAAACATGTTTGAGCTTCATGGCTAAGGCTTTCAAGTGTAAAGTGAGGTGCTTTGTCTCAGGATTAGAGCCAATGTCATACCAAGTGTGTGATGGCTTGGCTTCTAAAAATTGATCGAAGGATTTAACGGCAGCATGAACGGTTTGAGGCTCCTTGCTAATGCGTACAGATGTGATGGCGTCACGTACAACTCTGTGCATACGGACGAAAACTTTATTCCCTCTTTCTTCTAACAATAGCAGCGAGTATCCTTGGATATGAATGGTAACATCTTCTTTGTCTGCATGCCCATCCACATTCAAAACATAATTTTGGACGATTTCGAGATGCAATGCTTCAGGGGCGCAGAGGGAAAGGAGAGTAAACAAATGCTTCACTATACTGTCGCTCTCTATCGCTCTTTCAACGGCCAGCCTTGTTGCTACCGTCATGGATTTGCTGTATGCTGGGTTAGTCTTTGCTAGTACTTCCTCAGTCAGGGCTCGCATTCCTTTCTCTAGCTTTTCTAAATACTCCTTCCACCCGAAGTTCGAGACCCAATCACACTCACGGGTCTTTCTGACGTAAGTGCCTGCGCTAGCCAAAGCAAGGGGTTGGTAATCTAAAGCTTTTGCAACTTTATCTTCCATTTCAAAGTTCTCGAAACCTGCGATATGGGCCAGAAAACGCCATGCTTCGATTGGTTTCATACCCTGACTGATGGAAAAGTGGGAAATAACCGAGCACGTAGAAGAGATAGACAAGGTATCCTGTGTCGTGATGAGTATCTGCCCTTGGCCCCATTGTTTATTTCCTGATTGAGGAAGGAAATTAAATATACCAGAGACACTTTTCACGTTGTCTATCACCATAAGCCACGATGAATAGAGGTGAATTTTCGTTGCAATTAAATCTTCGAGATTCTTGATTTTTTCTTCAATACTCAACTCCTTGGACCTACGGGTGTCCATAACGCCGTATTCAGGACATTTGACCTGTCTCGCAAGTGTAACGTACGATTCCAGAAGTGTCTCTAAGTTTTCAGCGTTCAAAGTCATCACAAATGAGGGGCTGGTTTCTGAGTTTACTTTTTTGTAGAATTTCTCGGCTACTAGACCAGCGAGCTGAGATTTGCCACTACCAGGATTACCGGTGATGTATAAGTAGTTTAGACGATTCTCGTTTGCTTTCTTTAGTTGATCCAGGCCCTCTATTACTTCAGCAACCTCATCATCACGAGTGGCAATTTCGTGGCATGGTTTAGGAGGAAGAATGCAAAATGAAGAAATATCATCTTTTAGCTGAACTTCAAGGACCTCTCGTCGTTCTTCTGAAATTTCCAGTCGTTCTTCTACTATGTAGCGCTGTTTCTCTGATGATTCCAGTTGTTCTTCAACCAACTGACATTGTTGTTTTGCCGTCTCTAATTCGACTTTGGTTTCTTCGAGTTCTTTTTGAAGGTCCTCACATTTCCACCTCAGGTTTTCAACCTCCTCTGTCTGAAAACTTCCCTGTTTACTGATTTCGTCGACTTGTGTGGTAGAGAGACCAAGTAAACTAAATGCAATCTTTACTTTACGAACAGCAAGTTTGAACTCTAATTCAGACAACTGGCCCCAGGGCAAGTGAGCAAAGTTTTCATTGCGAAACTCTCTAAGGTCATCGACATTCGATTTAAGTGTTGCGCTCAGTCCATTACTGATAGAGTCAGAATAAAGGATTGCAAAGAATAGCGTTTTACAATCCCATTCCTCTGTACTTCCCTTTTTTACAGTTTCCAATAATCGAGCATTTCGTTTTCGGCTACGGGGAGATTCGTTGTTGTAGAAGTCCAATCCATTTAGAAGGGTGTCTTCCCATTCTCCCAGAGTTGCCTGGTAACGGCTGTCCCATTGTTTTTTAAAAATGACTCGCAGCCCTAGCGGCAGTATATTCGTGGCAATGTGACAAACTCTGAAGTAGTTGAGCTGCTCCTTGGTGTAAACTGAATTGGCCATCTTCACTTTGTCGTCACTTTGCTTTGAGCTTGTAAACCCTGTTCAGAAGCGATATAGAAGCCTTTTCAGTTATATCAGGTTTTGTATGAGAAAAAAAAATTATATAACCCTAAAGTCCGCCGAAACTCTAGAAAACAAAAAATTGCCTATACGGCAAATAATCTTTGCGAAAAATCCCAGTAGACTTAGTAAACCTAAGCGTCTTTAATTTCTCAACAAAAAGTAAAAACTTATGTACTGTCAGAGCAAAACTCGGAACAATGTACTAGCATCTGCCTTCCTTCTATATCGCTGTTATCACTATCATTATTATTATCATTATCATTATTATTATCATTATTATTGTTATTATCATGCGGCAGTATATATAGCTGGATGCCCAGAATAAAAACAAAACTGTAGTTGTGGCTGGGCGATAAGTCACGGCCAGGTACAGCGTCGACTAGGATCCTTATCTACAATTAGAAATATAAATGATTAAAAATAAGTAAGATAATTTGTAAATACTTTGAATGTCTTTATGTTCAATAGTGTTCTATGGAAATCAATTCCACTGTTCATATCTAATATCTAGTGACTCAGCTTAAATATTCTTGCAATATGAAGTGAACTTGTCAGGAAAGCTGTCTGAATCTGTCCTAAGATAGATTCAGTCTTGTCTCACACAAGTTCTTTGATATTCTGCTCCACCTCTCTTGAGCAACCACCAAGGACATCTATGATTATCACCCACCCATTAATTTTGGCACGATTTTATTGGTCACTTTACGTCACGTGGTGTAAAATCACAGGAGAGTCATCGCGCAAAAAACCACGTCCACGTCGATATTTGTCCTGCGATTTTTTCCGTGAAAAAGAAACATAGCCACGACAAGAGTTTCAACTTTTCCGTTCTCCTATTTACATGGAAGGAAACCAAACTGCTTTTTTTTGCTTGCTTGGGTCAATCACGCGCACTCGCCATCAGATCACCACTGGCTTTTTTACTGTGTTTATGCGCAGTTTAATTGCGATGTGAAAATTAATGGGAGGATTATAATATAAAAATTTCTCAAAATTTCATATTTGCCCTCGAAGCTTCGCTTCTCGGCCAAATATTCATTTTTCGGACAATCTCTCAGCCGCGGACATTATCAGCCGACATACCAGCCGCCCGAAGGGGTTTATTTGCTAACTATATTGTATTGAATGTTCTTGTACCCAGCGTATCTGTTTGAGAACTCATCTTTCGATTTTAATGTACCTTGGTGGGCAGAAGGTGTAGGTAAAGCTGGTGTATATTTTTGCTATGGTGCGTGTGGGGGCATTCTTCAATGCAGAAAGTCACGCAAAGCATTTCTCAAGATCAACTTCTTCGTCGTCCCATCTGTTCCTGAAGAGTTTCCCTCACCATCTCTCCTCAGACGCAGTTGAATGTATATCCTGCTGCAGTGACTTGTTGATTACTGGCTTCGCTTGTATGGACTGTACTTCTTTGTCTCCATTGATAACAGTTGGGTTAATATAACTTAGCCGAAGCTGGAGATCCAGCTCAGCTGCATACTTTGTTGCATCTTGGATTGTGGAGTGACGACTTTTTTGTCCAGCAAGCTCTTCAAAGGATCTTAGAGCAGGCATTGTTGGGTCAGCATTATAATAGAGCTTTACTGCTGCTTTAATCTTAGTGTTCTTGTATTCATTCTCCACGAACTTAAGGCCTCTTCTACCGTGCTTCCGTGACATGTAGAGTTTTGCTGTTGATTCACGAGGGTGATTTCCTCCATCCTCTACAATGATCTTTCTTCCCTCATGGCCTACTTGTGTAAAGTCTGGCAGAGGCCACGTGTCTGTCAGGCAAGTAAGTATCGGAAGTGCGTACTGATTGGTAGCCTTAACTCTCTAGTGGTCTGACAATGGGCTAGACCAGATGATTGAAATCCTCTGTAGGTGTGTCTTCGCCGCAACCTCTAAGACTTGCTTGTCCTCTTGCTTGATGTTTTTAAGGACGCCCAGAAATTTATAGGTGTTATCTTTACCTAAGTTCTTAAAAGGTTTGAGGTCAGTAATCTTTATGCCTTCTCTTCCTTATTATTATTAATAATATTATTATCGTTGTTGTTATTACAATTTTCTTTAACGCTGTACAGTTCAGTGGTTAGCGCTAACAGGCGAGGTCATGACTCAGCTGAAACAGAGACATCTTAATCCACAACCAGCAAAACCAGACTCACTAATATTTGGACCTTTGATTCCAGAATCGGTATACTCAGACGGAGATCAACGGCGATATGATTAGGTAAGCTGCTCTGCCTACTTAGGGATCCAGGGGTCCGTCTGGGGCTGATACAATTGCATTAAGAACAATTTTCGCCTGCAAGTCTTTTAACAGTCATCCTCAAGGTTGTTCAAAAGCAATAGCCAAAATGGCCAGGACTTTGTGTTCCCACTACATCAACCCCGTGATTATAGAGCCTTTATTGGCATGCAGTTTGTACCCCCTGGATTAAGTTGAAGGTGCAGTGACACCAATAGGAGCTGGGAAGGTCATGAGGCTAACTATCGGAAAGTGTGTAAAGAATGTTGACGAGGGAATTTGCTTGAAGCTAGTGGCTCACATCAATTAAGGCAAAGTCCAGGAAGGGAGACTGCAGTGCATCTTTTGTACACTGAATTTAATTATGATACCGATTCTGCATTACTGTATTGCTTCATTTAACCCCTTAAAAAGAGCTGCAGCCCTGAAAAACATCCTAGGTTCGTGCCCAATCAATACAAGCAGAGCACCAGCTTGACTGTTTATCTCCGGGGGTAAAAGGAACCTGTCATCAGAGAGAACCGTGCAAGAAGACTTACATCCCAAAAACGCTGCGATATCAAGGATCTACTAAAGCCACTGGAGAATGGAATATCTCAGGTACCTATTCCTGCAATAACTGAACGCAAGTGTAATAAGCTAGATAGGGACGTACTAGCGCTCCCTGTCTACCTGCCGTAGGCCTGTGCTAAGGAAATTCAAGCCGGGAGTACACATCATCGGTCAAGGTCGCAATGCCCCTTGTTGGGCATATAACATCTGAAACACACTAGTTACGAAACGATATTTAGTTCAGTTGGCACAGAAGACAGTCAATTGCAAAAGAGCGGTCGAACTCAAATACAGGGCAGAGAAGATGAGAGTGAGGGCACCATCAAAGATCAAGCGAGCGTTAAACCTAGCGGGTAAAAGAAGTTCATCAGTGTGGCTGATAGAGCTTTCTCTCCTAGAAAAGGGCTTTAACTTGAGTGAACGGGGAGTTCAGGGTTGACACTGTGTGGTTATCATATCGATAAAGTATTCAGGCTGTTGTTGTGGTAGCTTTGCTGTTCAGCTTTCTTCACTGGTTCATATTGTTCTTGTCTTTCCCTGCAGATAACTGCTATATCATTGTCACTTCGGACATTTCAGAAATATTTAATTAGAAGATACGTTTTAATCAAGTGTTTTTATAATATCGTTAACAAATGGCTAACACCAAAGCCTACACTAATGAGTTGTGGATGCAAGCAGGAGGTTGCTAGGCACGAAAGAAACGTAAGAGTCGCGATGAGCGATAGCGATTCCAGCTTCTTGAGTGCTTAGCCGAGCAAACCTCACATGTGCGGACATAACTCAATAGTGCATGCTGTGGTGTTCACCATTGTTTTAAAACATAACATTGATACATCGTAGCGGAAGAGTTCCCTTTTATTTAACACTAAAATTCTACGTCAACAGAAAAAAAAAGCTCGCGAAAACTAGTCTTTGCATTTGCTCACGTCAGCAGCGTACACTCTTGAGCAAATGAACACTGAGTTGATCAATCAGAGCGTGCTTCATTAAAGCGCTTGATATTACTCTATAGATGATAAAAATAAGAAATATATCTTCTCTGATTCTAAAGCGATCATCTCAACCGTGAAATATCCTACAAATCAAAAACTATTCGGCGTGCAATCATGCAACTCAGAGTTGGCATAATTCAAACAGAAAAAAAAAGCAAACATCCAAACTGGGTCACGGAAATGTGACGCGAATCAACCACCGCCGAGATGTTGCAGAGATGAAGCATTAAAAGGAGAACTTTGTAGGCTTCTGAAATGTCATTCATCTTTCTATTCCAATCCATGCTAAAAGTTGCAAATGATGCTCAGTTATACTCGCGCAGCAATCGATTGGATTTACCTCATTTTATTTTGACTGAACTCGGCGCCAAAATTGTCAGGGTACAGAATTTATATCCTCGCCACACCAGACGGTCAAAAAGCGTTGTGCTTTTCAGCCATCTATGAAATCGTGAAACCTTGTTGGGCTTCAGATCACTTTTACAACTAGTAACCTTTCCCTTAAATGTAAACTGTTTTGTCTCAATCGTGATGCGCACTTTAGAAATACTCTTTTGCTTTCATGCGTCCCATTTTCTTCAATGTGTTTTAATCGTCTTTGAAAATGTGTCACGACCTGTCTGTTGACGTATACTGGAAATCAATCTTCCCGCACTTATAAAACCTTTCGGACATTTCAAGAAATTTTTGAATTGTAAGAACGATCAAGGACCAATTTAAGTCTTTTGGCGCCTTCTCTTAAGAAACTCCACCGAAAACAAAAAAAAATAACCATTCCCGGACTTGTTGCTCCAATTTCCTTTTACAGCATTGAGTCAAGAACAACAAAAACAAGTTAATTCTGCGTCATACTCGTGTGGCCGTGAAAAAATTAACGTCTGAAGTTTTAGTTGATGCGTTCCAAAACATCACCCAGTTTTGTTTGTACAATAAATAAAATAAAACCTTCTAATCACCCCAGATGCAAAGAGAAAGGCTTCTTTTCCTTCACAATACAAAGAGAACTTTGATCAATGATGCCGATGGAGTGAAACAAACTAATCTGAAGAATTGGAAGCATTCGGCATTATAATTTAAGGTGCTGGTAGATGAATCCCGAGACGCTTGATAAGAACATTGTTGTCGGATAGCGTCATATTCCTTCATCTAAACGGTTGCCTTTATATTTTAGATGATTGTGAACCAAGAAATATTTATCTTCTGATTTTCAAGTGGCCTTCTCGATCGTCAGATATGCCACAAATCGCAAAGATTCCCCCCATAAACTATTCGAATTGCAATTGATGCAGTCACTACTCAGGGACTAAATGTCCCTGGGAATGGCATGAAAACCACAAAAAAAATTTTGTCACGAAAATGGGACGCGAATCAAGCATCACAAGAAGATCTAGAATCTTTGATAGAAGAACTTTGTGGGCGTAAATGTCATTTCTTTGACTTCATCATAAAGTGAAGATCTCATTTGAAATGCCGTTGAGTTATGCCGTATTTACAGTAAAACAATTGCACTCCGCTCTTCGTAAACCTCATAATCCAGGATCAGCTCAGCACGTTTTGACCGCTCAAAAAATCTTTCTAAACAATGGGTTGACTGGTTGCCGTCTCTAAAATGCATTTTATTCGCGCATGCAGATCGCTCATGTAGTGAAGATGTTGAAACCCAGGCATACCACGCATGCAAGAGTTATTCTTTGGTTATGTGATTTTATAGGAAAATTCAATACTTGACGAGTAATTCCGCATTAAATTTCACGCGAAAACTGATATCGCACGAATCGCTATTCAAGTGCGATTTAATGCGGAATTCACGAGTGGAGTAATGGATTTTCCTTGAATCGCATAACTGAATAAAAATGAATAAAAAAAGGAAACAGCACTACTTAAGTTTGTTATGTTTTCGTAGATGCGAAACAATATCACTTAGCCTCGTTTTCAACTTGCAATTTCACGCTAAATACCCCGCTTCGTTAACCAATCACAATGCGAGATTTTATTCAATGATGCGATTCTGAATGGGATGCTATGCAAATCATGTTTACATTTTCGTAAAAGGAAAAGAGCATTTACTTTCAAAACATTCCGAGAAAATTATCGTTCAGTAGAGAGAAAAAAACTTTCAATTTATCTGATATAACCTAAAACGCACACATTTTATGGTATATCCATTGATGTCTTACTAACTGTTAGCAACATGTCCTTCACAGCCCTATTTTGGTCTCGTCACGCACGTGCTCTCTCCCCTTGTTGAATGACGAGACCAAACAACGGCCTCCTTGTAGACTAAGACGATGACTGACTGTCATTCCTTCGTCAGAGACAATCATTATCAACTAAAATTCAGTTACAGCTAGTTGCCTCATAAATATTCTTCCACAAGATTTTCTTGTGGAAGAAAAATCCAAACTCTATTCTATCTCCAGGAGGAATAGAGCATAACTTTCAAAAGAACGAAAATATCCCATTTCTTGACCTTAAAAGAGAGTAAGAAACTTTCGAATTTATCTGAAATAAACTTTAACACAAGTATTTTGTTGTCTTTTGTCTCTGATGTCTGAATAATTGTTAGCAAAATCAAAACAAACTCCATTTAATTTGGTACCACGCCTATTCTAGTCTCCTTCGCAGCCATTGTTTGGTCACGTCACGCAACACCCTCTCTTTCCATTTCAGAGAGAGCGCATTACGCTTTACCCAGTGCATAAACCATTGCACTGGGTAGATGACCTCACAGTTCGTTGTCAATTTCATTCTTAGTGTACATCAATGTTAGGTTGATTCTATTGCAACATTTTGACATGAGGGAACATACCCTCATAATTTACATAAAGGAAAATACTCCGACGCTCGAACTGGTGTAAATATATCTCTTTGCTGTGATCTGAGTCATGGAGATACATACCCTAATGCAGCGATCTGATTGGTACGAGCAACATAACTCCCTATACACTGATAAGCAGATATTGTTTATACCTTTCCACAGTTTCATTTTTTCTGGGATTACAATGCCCGTCGAACGCTTCTAACACCTGCGTTAAGGTTCTTTCCGACGCGGAAATTTAATAATAAAAACACTCAAAAACAAAATGGGGCCAAATCACCATGGACAAAAGCTTAAATTGATAAATTCATTTGTTTATTTTCTTATCATTAATTAATTAAAACTGAGTTAGTGACCTTTCCAGTCCCAAGGTTTCATGGTTTCACCTCGTTCTGCCAGTTATTTTTCATGACCAGCAGTGGACAAGAGAGCAAGGGATGATAGTTTTTCAAATGGCTCAAAACATATTATCATTGTACAAAATAAACTCGTTATTTTAACCCTTTTAACACTCAGATGTAATTTCTCCCCATGATATCCACACCTAATCCAGCGAACAGGTAATGGGAACACACAAACTTCACAGGTAGGGGTTGCTATCCTGATCTAACACCAAATTCTCGGAACTTATTTACAGCGAAATGTGTAATAGCTAGATGGGGGATTCAACAATCAGATCTTGGGAGTTAAAGGTTGACTGAATAGGGTTTCTGTAAAAATCCATGCTAAAATTTGCACTTTTTAAAAAATTCCATAATAACAAGTTTCACTTAGAGTCTTGACAGTACCTTTCATTATCTCTGACTCCACAACTTCTGTCTTCTGCTTGCATCTTTCCAATTGCGCTTGATCTTCAGAACTTAGGAAGAATGACTGAGAGCTCAAAGTATCTTGAGTTAAAAAGAACAGAAATGAAAATTATGTTTCCCATTCACTAAAACTGCATTTTCAATCTAAAGTTGAACCTTCAATATCCGAACTTAAAAAGACTGGAAAGAAGATTGCGGATAATCGAGAGTTCGGACAATCAAGAGTCTGGATAAACAAAAATGTGAATGCTAATAAGCCAAAAATTATAAAAAAATTGAATAAGAATACAAAAGCACATTCTAAAGCTATTGTGCATAAACTGTTAACATTTGGCAAAAGCATTTACAAAAGGTTGTAAAAGCTAATCAACGTTTTACATCAACCTGAAATGCTGGCATAACTCTATCATTGCTTGAAGCTGCCAAGTTAGTTGAATACGCGGTCAATATTGTTCTGCCTCACCAACTATGTTAAACACTTCCTGGAACATTCAACAGCTTCAAAACGCGGAACAAATTCAGTTTGAAGGGAGTTTTGTTACATGGCTCTAAATGTGATTTACTGCCAATAAAAAAGAGTGGGACCAGAGAGGCAAGTCTGAATAATCAAAAAACCTGGATAATTGAGGTCCAAGTAATCAAGGTTTGACTGCACAGCAGAGATCTAATTATTCTACAGATATACCCCACATTCATGATTTCCCAACCAAAATCAAGGCTGACAGCAAAAAAATTGTGGAATTAACTGTCAGAGATCTTTAATTTCATCCAGTCAAAAACTTGTGGTTCATAAAACCTGCTCTGTGATTTATCTTTCCGAGGCAGAAAACTTCAGAGGTTTGTTAATTATCAGATGTAAGCGGGAGATAACCCTGTAAACAGTGCTATTACTCTGCGGAGTTGGAGGATTGCCATCATTCTGGATTTATCAGTGACTAGGGTGAAGTCACAAAGTAAGACCGAAAAGAACATGAGACTTTTTTAGAGTACTTTCACTTGATTTTCTCGTTTATCTTTTAATGTTTACAACGCATGTTTTGATCGATAAGCTCGAGTCTCCAAGAACATACTTCTCCAAATCTTGGTTTCTCATGTTTTCAAGAGTTATGGTCGGAAAGTGAGGGAAAGATTCAATATTAGTAACGCAACCTTGCATGCTACAGGACCACCACTAACAAGTTGACAAACATGTTTCATAGTTTGTCACCTGAAAAGTTTGGTCAGGATTTTGTGGCCCTTGAGTTAGACTTCATTTTTCACTTATTCCTCTTCTGCTGACTTTGCCGTGGTACTTATATTAGTCCCCGCATTTCATCCAGCGATTTTAGTATTTCCAATTTGTCATGAAATCAACTTGTTCCTAATCTCCATAACTCTCCATGTTAAAAAACAATGAAAGCAGTACATCAACAGCGATTTTGCTAAAACAGCAAATTAAAGCCTTCAATTCGTTCCCGCTGAACCGCAAATACGACCGGAATATAGGTTCCGTGTAGCCTCCTGTTCATTGTGACAATGAGTTCTGACTTGTACCCTATGGTACTCTAAGATAAAAGAGTGATGAACTGTCTCCTAAAAAAATTTCAAATATTTTGTGAAAAGATTTGTTTTGTAACTCTCTGTCGACTAACCTCTGAATGCAACTCTCTCAAAGTAAGCTTTCCTTGCATTGTACTCTTCTATGTCCATTGTTGTTGTCAGCTTCAACTCAGCTAGATTCATTTCCTTCAAAATCTTTTCAGTCACTAAACAACTTTGAACCATTTTCCCAAGATGACCAGATGAATAATCCGTCCACAATTCCTCCAAGATTTGGAGAGATTCACACTTCACTGTTATCACCAAACTACTAACAGAGACACCTGTAATGATGACTCTCATTTTTCTCAAATATTCCATAAACTCGCTAAACTCTTCACTTGACTTTGGTTGCATGATCCGGAGGTACTCCATAGCAATTGCGCACATGACTCTCCTTTCGAATGCTTGAGGATCTTCTAATGTTGTAGTCTTCATATTAGGTTTTTTAGGTTCCAAGTGTTCCGCCTTAACCATAATGTTCAATTCATCATCTGTTGTATCGCAACAAACAGTCAAATTTAATCCCACTTTACATGTTGTTGTTGTTTTGTTTTGTTTTTTTCACCTCTCTGCTATTTGACCAATAAAACATAATTTAGGCATAGCAATATCAAACATGTAGAGCTGCAATGAATAGATACTGACTAAATTTTGCTGCTATGAAAATAATGACCACATATTGCTTGTTAATTTTGCTGTTTTGATGTTTAAAATTCTTGGTGATCTCGATATGAAAAATATTTCAAAATGTGAAAATATCTTATGAACGTGATGTGTAGGTAGGAGACGTTAATTTCCCACACACGAGATTACTGTGTGATGGATGTCCCTCCCTGGGGTGGGATGGGTGGGTTGTTTAGGAGTCTCGTTACTGGAACATTAGTTCTGTCAGATCTCTCCTTCCAAATCTGGCGAAGTTATAAATACTAAAAAATAAAAGATAAAAAAGATACTAAATTTGTGCTCCTCAATTCAAAGGTGGAGGTGATGGTTCGTGTAGCTCATATATTTCGCATCACACAAATTTCATTTAAGTTTATGCGCAATGCATTGTTGGTTAACCAGTGAAGGCTTTGTTTCCGTGATTTATAAATCATCCAAGGTTTTCTTACTTGCAAAAACTGGTTGTAGTACACAGTTGACTTTTTTCTCACATATTCAGATCCTGGCAAACATTTGGGATTATGATATTGATATCAATGTTGTGATGCTATCATGATATTCTGAAATCATCATGATATATCAAAATATCAAACTCTTGGTATAAAGTTAAAGCCCCGTCAATATGGAGTTTGCTTAATACAGGTTTCACCATCATGGAATAATTGAATAGCAATTACTTCTAATTAACTAATATTGATAAAAAGTAATTACCATTAACATGTGGTATCCTTTCTCACGCAACAATCTAAATCTTTGTTCTATATCCTGTAGTTTTGGATTCTTGACCCTCAGGCGACGCCCAAGCACCCTCCACTTTTCAGCAATTTTGTTGCCTAATTCTTCTAATTCGTCGTCTGTTGGTGACCCTTGTTTTACTATAAAAGAAGGTAACATTCTCCTCTTTCTTCTTCCTGAAAAAAAAGTACATTTCAGCTTTAAATTTATCGTTTTTACCCTTGTGTATGAACAAAAGAGATACCTTATGATATCCACAAGGGTTTAAGATGAAATGATGCCAAAGGGAAGATTTCAGTAAATTTTCCTCTCCTTGAAGTTATTTTTATTTTTGTAATAGCTTCCAGGTTGATAGAGAATCGTACATGTCACCATACAAATTTTTTTGATGTCACTATTGCACCTTGTGTGTAATTCAGGGATCAATGAAGCAACAATTTCAAAGTGGTCGGTATTACCTAATGCAATAAAGCAGATCAAAAGATTGAATTAATAATGAACGGCTTTGAAAGAAAAACAATTGAAAAAACAGTGGTAAAATGAAATGTATACATTGACAAAAAATAAATATAAACATCCAAACAAACTCATTATTATGCAAATTTAAGTTAACGTTCAGATTAAACATTTGTTGGAAGTTCAAAAAAAAGAAAATATTTATAAAGGATGAAGAATAATATTACAACTATATGCTGTTCAAGGAATTGGTATGTCTTTAAACATACTGATGTCTGGTTTTACATAACTGGTTAAATGTGAGGTTATTTACTAAATTCCTCCACAAGGCACTAACAGCTATCTTTGGATGTCATTTACCTATTGAAGCTGAAACATTGCTTGAGCCAGTACTTGCTCTGGAGGGTATGGATAAAGGAATAGTTGAAGGAAAGGCCTGGAACAAAGGAAACACACGTTGTCAGCTTATAAGTACATCAAGATCGATGAATAAATTAATTCAATGAAAAGACGCATGTGCCATTTTAAGTTGTATCTGTAGAGCAATGCACTCTATCTTAGGAATTTCCTTCTGTGCACTACATGGAAAGCGAGATCAATCAAATATATTCACCAATCAATTCAATACCCCTCTCCCTCACCTGATCAGGGCAACCTCCCAGACTTTTAAAATTTTGAAGATTGGTTGTTCAAATTCCAGTCCTCCGGGTCCAAAATACTGTTCAAATGACCCACCCAAGTGCCAGATTTGATGATGAATTTCTTTTTAGAATAGGCATCTGCCCTGACCCATCTTCTCATGAAAGCCAACTGCTCACCTAAAGCATCTCCAACTCAAAATTCCCCACCCCACACAGGCAAGGTTCAAATTCTCCACCTCCTAGGGACAGAAAACAGTCAGATGCCCACTGGTCACCCATAGGGGTGGAGGTTGAAGCTTCAAAGGGATTGACGCATAAATTGGTAAACATGTGAGTTTGGAGGATAACCAAGTCAAATCCTAGTCCCGGTCACATGAAATAACTTGAAACCCATTAAATGAGGTCAATAACATTTACTAAAAGTGTTATCATCATTATTATAAAATATTATTATCATAATTATTATTATCATCACAAGTCTCACATTGGCGAATTTAGACTGAGAGAACTTTCTGTGAGTCCTCTTTACAAATCAAAATACAAGATAACATAGGTCAAAACGCAAGGTACATGACTAAAGGTGCAAAGTTTCACCTCATTTGCCAGTGAGGAAGCTGAAGAACCACAGAAGATGTGTTCTTTTAATTGAGCTGGTTGAGTAGATGTTGCTTGAGAGGAGTAACAAGCTGACATTGCTGGTACATTGTCAGGTCTGCAAAATGCAGTTGAAGTGTTAACAGTTGCCTCTCCTGTCGTCTGAGTCTCCCTTCTACTGTCCGTAGGTAGCTGTGTTGGAGTGTTCACGCCAGATGTCAAGTGAGAATTCAACTCAGGTCTGGTGCGAAAGTCTTCAAAAGGGGATTGCGAGTAATCAGCAACTCTTACCGATGACGATGAAGAAGACAAACAGCTTGATGAGACAGATGGAACATTACTGTCTTCTGATGAAGGAGGATCATCATCAGGTATGGTTATAACTTCTATGACATCGGCTAACTCCTCCGTCGTCTGACTACGCCTATCCGGCTCTCCATTGGTACAACAACTGTTTGTATCTTCCCAGCATGGGTTTGAAGTTACATCTTGGGAATCACTTGGAGCCAAATAAAGGTAAAATGAGGATACATTGGTATGAAAATTAAATTGAATTTGATTGTTTGTGGTTGAAATAAAGCTATAATTAGCTTGAAAGCCATCTGGATTATTGTAGCCTTTTTAACATGGGATGCAAGCTAAGTTCAGCTTGTTTAACATATAACCAACCCTCCTCCAAGAGTTTGCATTTTGTCAGGTTAATTTTGGTACTCATTTGTACTCTTGGGTTGAGAAGGATACTGTGAGTACAAAATTTCTTGCTTGGTGACACACCACAATGAAGTGACCATGGCTCTAGTCTGTTCGTCATGATTGAAGTCAACTGTGCTATAACCATAATGTAACTGCACACGTTTACAAAACCTGAACCACTGATCTATGGACTCCCACTACGCACTCATTTTTCCTACCCAAAATATAATTAAGTAGTAAAAATAGGAACAATGAATTTCCAATGATATTTTGTTGCCCATGAGAGGTGGCTGTATTCTAAGGCTACTGTTATTAAGAGGTGAGAATCACTGGTTCTTTCTGTTCAAAGGTTTACATCTCCGATTTTTCTTTTGCACTGGATTATTTATCCAATCTAAAAGAAAAGATTTACCAACAATAATTTATTGAAGGTACAATACAAAGATATGTGAAATAAGTTAATTGTTTATATTTGAGCACAGGAAAAATTAAATATAAAAATATATAAATTAAACATGGAAACTAATCTTGGAAAAACCGCAATTATTATTCTGGCCGTAAAGGGTCACAATCAGTAATTCCGTTTGGTTTTTCCTGGCAGAAACATGCACAATAGGCGTTACGTAGCACTTTTTAATTGGCTTAAAGCAATGTGGTGGACATAGCCTGGGAACGAGGATGAGTTTTGGCATCGAGTGTTAGTGATGTGATTTGTTCATAATGGTGACCTTGACAGTATTCCTTCTGAAGTTTTTCTCACTACATCCATCCATTACTGGTAACCCCACAATACAGTGGATAAACAAGTGTTCAAATAAATAAACAAATGAATCACTCAATAGTAATATTAGAATTGTCCTGCTTCACCAAATGTTTAGAAACATGATTACCTTATAGTAAAAATTAATTTAACCTTTGTTAAGATTTATTTCCTCTGATCTAAATTTTTGGAGCACATTCAAAATCGATTAATTTGTAGAGGGCAGACCACTTGGCAAATCTAAGGTTAGAGAAGGTGGTGAACTACAGATTTGCAGCAAGCCATGCACATGTAAACTACAGGACCACACTGCTTAATTTCTTATTACTGTTAAACTAAGAAAGCTACAAACACTTCGATTTGATTCTCACAGAACAGTTGTGTATAGTTCAACAGAAAGTAATTTAGGAGTGTGCAAACTCCCTACTGCTACTGTTCAGTTGTCTTGCAAGGGCATTACATAAGTACATGTATTTCTGGAGTTCAGTTTCTGGGTTTCACAGTAACAGTGTGGACAGAATACTTTTGTTCCCTGAGAATAACAAAAAGTAGTCCTTTGTAAAAGTTTATCAGCATTCTGATTTTTTTTCCGAAGATGAAAAGCTGCAAAAACACGAGTCCATAGTAATGTGTAGTAAGTAAAACACAATTCATAGAAATAAACAGGCTATTGATTTTCTTCGAAACCATGATATACCACAGTTTCGCTTGGAAAAGCGTTGCATAACGGCCTTAAGACAATACATGACAAAGAGAAAAGATTTGAACTTCCAGCGATTTAAGAACAAGGGTAAACTGGCTGGAAGAGTGCTGCTCGAAGACACCTTATAACAATAAGTATTATATGGCTGTGTCTCACAAGGACTGGGAACTACCGAATTCACGAATTTGATTGGCTGAAATCAATATTGAAAGTGGTTTAGATTTTCCCATCCAGACCGGCACCTAGACCGGTCTAGAAAAAAAAGGTACAAAGAATATAAAAAATGAGCATATAAGACACAGCCATATAATAAACATCTTATTAACCGAGCTAGGTCGGTCTGTATGGGAGAATCTTGACCTTGGTCAAGATTCTCCCATACAGACCTCCCGCTCGGTTAATAAGAACTAAATATAGCCTTTCAAGAGATATTTTTATCCTGCTACAAAACCTTAAGAACATATGTGCTAAAATTTGTATTATGAACTTCTGCGTCAACAGTAAGGCGCGTTTGAAGCTCTAGCTCCCTCATTTCTTCACTAGCCACGTTTAAATGTTTTCCTCCAAAGCTAGAAACAGAACCATTACTGTCGTTTAAAATAGAGAGCAGCGACGATTTTCGAGCAAGATCGCTACTGAATTTACTAGTTACTTCGACAATGCTTCGATGAAAGGAATACTATGATGTCACAATGGAGAAAGACGCTGACAATTATCGTTGGCTGAGCAGTTGTAGTTTGAGCAATGGCGGACGAAATTTAGTGAGTTTTAATCAAAATTTTTTCGGACTTTTCTTGCCGCGATAGGTCTGAATTATATTTTTCTTTTTGTTTAGGCTCTAAACTTAAATTGTTGGCATAAAAAAGTTGTTTTGAAGAACATCGATTTTCGTCTCAGTAGCACTTTAAAGGAAGGAGTCTTTAAAACGGAGAATCTCTAAAAGCGGGAATCGTTATAAGCGGGAATCTTTAAAATGAGGAATCTCCAAAGCAATAATCTTTAAAATGAGTAATCTTTAGAGGCGTGAAATGAAATCGACCAGATAAAACGGTCTGTGGAGAAGTTGTTGTTGTTGTTTCTTTTTTTCAATTTTACGCCAGTGAATCTATCAAAATTCATGACTGTATACTCGGGCAAAGCTACGCTACAATGGAAATCCCGCCTCAAGGTTGAAGTTTCCTTTAAAGATTCCTCATTTTAAAGATTCCCGCTTATAACGTTTTCCGCTTTTAAAGATTCTCCGTTTTAAAGATTCCTTACTTAGAAGATTCTCGCTTTTAAAGATTCCCCGTTTTAAAGATTCCCGATTTCAAAGATTCCACGTTTTAAAGATTCCTCATTTTAAAGATTCCCTATTTTAAAGATTCCTCATTTTAAAGATTCC